CTGCCCCAGAAATTCCGCCGTTGCCTTGGGATTGAAGGAGGCCCCCGAGCCCCATTCTCAGTCCTCTGCTCGATGGCCCACATAAAAGCCAATGGAGGCACAGTCCTAGAAGCCAGAGGCAGCAAAACGCTAGCCAGGAGAACAGACAACGGCCTCTGTGGCATTTGCTCAGGCGCACAGGCAGCCCCCACTGCCCACCCACACCCCCGCACAGGCAGATGCCTGCAGTTCCACCATCGGCACCGTGTTCCCTGGCTCCTGCCTTTGTCTAGCAATCAGCTCGTTATTCACCAAATATTTGCCGAGGTTCCTCTCTGTGCAGGGTGATGCACTAGGTCCTGGCATGAGACACAGATGGGAACCCTTCTGCCACCGCTTCTCTGGAGACCTTATCATTATCCCTGCTTCACAGAGGAGGGAGTTGGTGCCTTACTAGAAGGTTAAGTCACTTGCCCAAGGTCGTACAACTTCATAAATCCTGGACCAAAATGATGATGGGCTGGTTCTCCAGAGAGGTGGCCCCAGGAAAGCAACTCAGGTTTGGGGTGCTTGTAGAAACGACAGGCTGGCATTTGTCATTCTGCTCTTCAGTGTCAATACCTGGCCACAGGACATGACTGCCTGGCCCTGAACTGCTTGTGTGGAGAAAAGCGGGGGAGAAAGAAGGAGAGGTGGGTGCCTGCCAGGGGGAACAGGGACCACATGCGTTCCCTCTTCCAGCTTCCTGATGGATGCTACATGTGTCCCAGACCCCAGAAGTGGCTGCAGGGATCAGATGAGGTCCGCATCCCACAACAAGGGAGAGGAGAGGCACACATGGTGGGGGTAGACAGAAAAGACTGGAGAGGCCATGGCAGTAATTGGGAAGGAGGCGACATCTGTACAGGCTGGTGGGGGAGAGGGGAAGAAGGCGAGAGGAGGGCAAGGAGAGAGGACTTCACGGTGGTGTGTGACCATCTGGGAGAAGGAGGCCTTTACCTGAGCAGAGAATCAGACACTGTGAAGCCTTACAGTCACAGGTGCAAAGGAAGACACGGTTAGGCCCCCTGAAACCTGGCCGAGGCAGGACAAGTCTTCTTTGGGTAGCCACACGCCAGTAGTGCCTTCTGTACAGCGCTTGCCATGGTCTGGTGCTGTCCCACTGGTTCCACGTCCACTCCTCCACTCATCTTGACAGCCCTAGGATGTAGGTAGTCTCCCCATGTTACAGATGAAGAAACTGAGGCACAGAGACGAAGCGTCTTGCTCAGGGCCACAGTTGGGCACACAGTGGGGATTGCAGACCTGGGCCTGCTGGCTCCAAGAGCCACACTTTCATCACCACAGTGAGGATGGCATGGGGAGGAGAGGTGGGGACCAGGCGAGTTCAGGGTGCACCCCCAGCCTTGGGTGGGACTGCTGGCAGCAGCAGGGGTGGAAGGTGGCAGGGGGCATTGGGCTTAGAATCAGACACAGAAGGGCCAGGCCTGTGCACTGCCACCTTCTGTCTTCACTGCTCTGGGCCACAGATTCCTCATCTGTAAAAGGGGACAGTAACAGCCGTCTGTCCATCCCCTGGATCTATGCTGACATTCAAACGAAAACGCGAGCATGAAAACAGCTTATAGGTCGTGGGGTTGACAGATGAGGCAGGACACGAGATCTAGATGGTGGAGGAGCCACGCGTGTCTTTTTTTAAAAAAGATTTATTATTTATTTTAAAAGGCAGAAAGAGAGAAAGAGAGACAGAGAGAGATTTATTGTCCATCTGCTGGCTCACTCCCCTAACAGCTGTAATGGCTGGAGCTAGGCCAGACCAAAGACTGGAGCCAGGAATTCCAGGAATTCCATTTGGGTCTCCCATGTGGGTGCAGAGGCCCAAGGACTTGGGCCATCTTCTGCTGCTTTCCCAGGCCATTAGCAGGGAGCAGGATTGGAAGTGGAGCAGCCAGGACTCAAACTGGTGCTCATATGGGAAGCTATGTCAAAAATGGCAGCTTTACTCACTGTGCCACAGCACCGGCCCTGCCATGGGCATCGTGCACCTGCACTCCAGAAAGCTCTTCATCGGGTGGCAGGTTCAGCCCCAGCCTGCAAGATGCCACCTTCCTGTGTGGTTTCTTTTCTTTATTTTTAAGATTTATTTATTTATTTGAAAGGCAAAGTTACAGAGAGGCTGAGGCGGGGTGGGGTGGGGGGGTGGCTTCCATCTTCTGGTTCATTCCCCAAATGGCCTCAACAGCCGGAGGAGCTGGGCCAATCCAAAACCAGGAGCCAGGAGCTTCTTCCGGGTCACCCACGTGGGTGCAGGGTCCCAAGGCCTTGGGCCATCCTCTACTGCTTTCCCAGGCCATAGCAGAGAGCTAGACGGGAAGTAGAACAACAGGGACTAGAACCGGTGCCCATATGGGATGCTGGTGCTTCAGGCCAGGGCGTTAACCTGCTGCACTGCCCCACCTACCCTCCCCGTTTTTTTGTTTTTTTTTTTTTTTTTTTTTTTTTTTGACAGATAGAGTTAGACAGTGAGAGAGAGAGAGAGAGAGAGAGAGAAAGGTCTTCCTTTCGTTGGTTCACCCCCAATGGCCGCTATGGCCAGAGCTATGCCAATCAGAAGCCAGAAGCCAGGTGCCTCTTCCTGGTCTCCCAAGCACTTGGGCCAACCTCCACTGCACTCCTGGGCCACAGCAGAGAGCTAGACTGGAAGAGAAGCAATTGGGACTAGAACCCAGCACCCATATGGGATGCCGGTGCCACAGGCGGAGGATTAACCTAGTGAGCCAGCCGGCCCCCATGTGGTTTTATGAGCACTGACATCTGTTTCTCACTTGTGTCTCAGACCCAGTCACTCAACACAGCTGGCTTAAGGGCCCCCTCCCTGTACAAGGTGCCAGGTGTTGGTGGGAGGGGCAGGTGTTGAAACTAAAATTTAGGAAGCTCAAGTGACTTCCCCAACACTCCACAATTAGTGAGAGGCAGAGGCAAAACTGGAACTCATGTCTAGAGATTGCACACATCTTGCCTTTCCCAGATAATAAATGGGCTTTATAAAAACTGATGGCTGAGGCCAAGGTGGGCAAGAGTGGAGGGTTAAATAGAGAGGCTCCTATTTTATGGATTTTTAAATATTTCAAGTTAATATTAATTATACCTGTTTCTGGGGTACAGTGTGACATTTTAGCACCTGTACGTGACACGTACTGCTCAAAACAGAGTCATCTGTATTGGGCATTGCTATGGTTGGAGACTTGGAGTTTCTTCTTTCTAAAATATTTTAGCTTTTATTGAAAATCATCTCTTTTTCTTTTCCCGGGAATGGCTAAACACAAACCCACATTTTCTGGAAATGGGCGGAAGAGGGTTTGCAGGAAGCTGCCTGTCCCCACCCTGTACATGCAGCCGAGCCAAGCTGGACAAGAGGGAGGTGGGGCAGGGGGGAGGCTCCAACAAGCCCCTTGGGGAGCAGCGGCAGGGCACAGAGCAGAAAGGCTGGAAGTAGGACCTGGGAGAGGACGCCTGGCTCAGCCTCCGCGCTCTCTGCTGCCCCTCCTGGCTCTGTACCTCCAAGGACTGCACAGGTACAGCTCACAAGTAGGAGCCAGCCCCAAACCACAGCGAGGCTCCCCAATTCCGGGCACCCAGAGGTGTCTCCGTGACAGGCTCGTGCAGAAGCTGCATAGGTGAAGGTATAGGCACAGGTGGAACCAGCCCCCCAAGCACTGCCACACGTGAGCAGAGCCCGCAGGAGGCACCAGCCCTGGGACTTCGGTATCACCCTCCAGGGACCTCGTGGCTGTCACCATCAGAAGCAGCTGCTTTGCTCTCTCTGGGATCCCAAGGAAGGGGACATGGGGCCTCCCGGGTGCACAGAAACAAGAGGTGCATGAGCCCTGCCTCCCAGCTGACTTCCAGAGCATGGGTGTTTCCCCCATGTGGACAGGGAGCTCTTCCAGTCCTGGAAGTTCAATCGCAAGCCCTTGCACTCCCGCTGGAGTGAATTAGCCCGTGATCATTCTTTTCAGCATCACTCCGCCGCTGCTGCTGCTGCTGCTGCTGAGGTTTTAAAGGGAAGAGCTGTTGCCCGCATCACTCCATCCCTTTAGGAAGATCTAGCTTTGTCCTTGAGCAGACTCCACAGGGAGAGTGACAGGCTACCCACGCGGTGCCCGTCGCCACTCTCACCAGGAAGGGAGCCACGTGACCAGCTGTCTGAGCCCCCGCCAGCCCTCTCTGTGTGCTTCCATCACTCCGAGTAACAGAACATTCTCCTGTTCCAAGAGGCGAGAGACGACGTGCAAGAAGGGGGTGTCGGGGCACACCTGGCACAGAACATCTGTGCACTGTGGGTGGCTGCTGGGGGTGCAAGTGCAGACAAGGACGTCTGCTCATGTGTGTCTAGGTGTTTGCACATGAGGATGTGTGTGTGTGTGTGTGTTCAGTCTGTGGCTACTGGTGTGAGAGGACACGCACAGTTATGTCACACAGCTGTGTGTGTGTGTGTGCGTGTGTGAGTGTATCTGGGTGTGTGTCTCGGGCTCAGCCCCTGACTGACAGAATGATTCTGATTGAGGATCACACACGGAGTGGATCTGTGGCTGTGGGGACTACAGGACAGAGCGTGTCAGGTTTGGGTCACAGCTTCACGACTTGGAGGCCACTCATTCGTGTGTTTCCACCTTTCTTCATGTGTTAAGTAGGGATGATTGTCGCTGCCCACCTTAGGGGACATCGTGAGGCTAGAGTCCCATGTGAAATGCAGAGCAGGTGAGTGGAACTAACCGGGGGCGGGGGGGGGGGGGGCGCTGAGTCAGCATAGGGGGAGGCAGCTTCACCACAGGCAGACAGCCTTAAGGCACAGGCCACCGAAGTCATTCCCCAGCCTCTGACGGCCCCAGGACATCTGCCCCTGTGGTCTCCCTCCCCACCCCCACCATCACGCCCACCCCAGCAGGCTTGGCTTCGGAAGGTACAGCCCCTGAAAGGACCCGGCTGCCACAGCAGTGAGTGCAACACACATGTTTTACCAGTAGCAGGGGCCAGCCAGTGGATCCCGGGCCCAGCGATGATGCTCCTGGCGTGTGTGCTGCACGCTCCCTCCATGCCCTCACTTCCTTACCCGACTGCTCAGCAGGCACTGACAAGGCCACTTTAAAGATGAGAAGCCCTACGACAAGGGAATCACACAGATGCCAGGCGTCCAAGCCAGAGCCTGGCCAGGGCTGGCCAGGGATCCATCCTGGGGATGAATCTGAGGTTCCCGGGGCCCCTGCCACCCCCAGCCTGCCGCCCACTGGGACCAGGTCGCTGGAAGGATGCAGCTCTCAGCTCCAAGCCCTACCCCTCTGTTTCCAGAGCTGCCGTTTCCACCCTCTGCCTTAGCGCAGAAAGCCTCCGGGAGCTGAGTGCCTGTGGTGACCTCCCCACAGGGACAGGCGCTCTGGAGGGAGGTGGAGCCAGGGAGTCTTTTCCAGGACTGCAGGGAAACTGAATCCCTGGGAGAGGCAGAGAGGCTGGGCCTGGGGGTTCACAGAAGCCCAGAGATGGGACAGACTGAAGGAGGGGAGGAGACTAGGAAGGGCAGCTCTAAGAGCCACCGTGAGGGACGGCAGGACCTCAGCACCTCAGGCCTGGCTGGCCCTGGGAAGTGACTAAGACACTTGGAAGAAGCCGGCCAGACGCGCCCAGAGCAGACCAGGGTTCCTCCAGCAGGACAATAGCGCCCTCTTCTGCCCAGACACAATCAGCGCCCAGGTCAGCCTTCCGCGCCCCGCCTTCCTTCCATCCTCCCGGCATCGCTTAACCGGAGGAGTGGGAGCCTACCCCGCGCCAAACCCACCTGCCCAGACCCTTGTCCCCGCACCTGCTGCCGGCCCTGCGACGTCTGAGGTCTCCCGCGACGCAGCCCAGCGCTCCCGGTCGCCGTCCCCGGGCGCCGCGGGCCCTGAGGGGCATCGTTCAAGCACTCGCCGGCTCAGGGACAGCTGCTGCCTCACCTGAGAGTGTGGGAGGTGTTGGGGTTGCTAGGCAACCGACGGCGACCTACGGGGCGAGACCAAGGGCGGGGCTCCGCGGAGCTCTGTGCCCTTGAGGACGCAGACCCACAGTCGGAAAATGTCTGTTTCGGGGAGAGCCTGCCTGCAGGAAGTGCCTGGTCTGGTTGCGGCAGAGATCACCCGCACCGCAGAGCCTCTTCCGCGGCTGACCTGAAGCGCTGGAGGGCGGGGGCAGCCGGGGTCTCAGGCCTGAGCGAGGTGTGCAGGGGAAGAGCAGCCCCGTCTGTGGAACGCCCACCCCGTGCGGGCACCACGCTCTGCACGATGCGCGGCGCCTCATTCCTCCCCGCTGGGACCCCCAAGGACAGGTGCGATTAGCCCCATCCAGCAGGGAGCAGCTGAGCTACCAGGCCTGATCTCCTGGCCCAGGTCATGGCACCTGAATGGATAAAAGCGGGCACGGGACTGAAGGAGCTCTGAGCTTAGCCCGTGGCTCCCCACGGGCCTCGGCTCCCACGCAGGGACCCCGAGATCCAGGGGACAGGTCCTGGGCCAGGAGGCTGCAGCCGAACTCGTGTCAGGGCTCTTGAGAACGTCATTTGACCCTTGTGACTCAGTTTCCCTATTTGTAAAACAGGTTCTAACTTCACCCAGTTATTGTCATCTAGTGAGATGAGAGAATCTGAAATCATTTTGAAAAGCTCACAGCACTGCACCCTACAGGACCGCCTGGTCACAGCACTGCACCCTGCAGGGTAACCCGGTCACCTCCTAATGGAACAGTGGAACAGCCCAAGGCCTTGACAATGATAGCTTTTGCTTCAGAAGTGCTCCCCTACCTCTCTCCCACCGTCAGCCCCAGCCTGCCTTGCCTCAGTGATCTTTAATTGAAATGTAAGCTAGGCCAGCACCGCGGCTCACTAGGCTAATCCTCCGCCTGCGGCGCCAGCACCCCAGGTTCTAGTCCTGGCTGAGGTGCCGGATTCTGTCCCGGTTGATCCTCTTCCAGTCCAGTTCTTTGCTGTGGCCCGGGAAGGCAGTGGAGGATGGCCCAAGTGCTTGGGCCCTGCACCCACATGGAAGACCAGGAGGAAGCACCTGGTTCCTGGCTTCAGATCGGCGCAGCTCACCATCCATAGCGGCCATTTGGGGGGTGAACCAACAGAAGGAAGACCTTTCTTTCTGTCTCTCTCTCTCTCTTTCTCACTAACTCTGCCTGTCAAAAAAAAATGTAAGCTAATGTGAACCTGAGACACACACACACACACACACACACATACACACACACAATCATTTAACTTACTTCCTACCTAAAATGATTTCTTTAAATGAAAACATTCCCCATCAACACCTTGAACGTGGACCAAAAATACTCCAATGGCAAAACCCACGGTAACTCTAATGTAATCATCTTCCCACCAAGCATCATCCCACAAAGCATCTCATGTAATGTGTTCTTCAACATGCCCAGGAGTTACCTCCAGGTGAGGGGCTTAAGGCTCAGACTGGCCGGTGCTGCTGGCTGGCCAGTTAGCCTCCACCTTCCGGTTCTTCCTGCCCCCAGGAAAGCCCAGCTGGGTTTGTCTATCCACCCCACATCACCTGGTCCCAGAGGTAGTGGTGAGGGTGGTGAGAAATAGACTTTCATTATGGAGAAATGCCACTTCTTCATTCTCTCTGCCATGGTGCCTGGAGACCCCCTTTTGCCGGGGAGAGAATTTCTGCCCTGGGCCATGCTCCCTCTTTGCAATTTCTAGTTGTGTTCAGGATGTGAAAATTCAGGGGGTAAATTACTTTCAAAGGAACAAGGTTGCCAAAACAGCCATGATGTTCCTACCCAAGGTAAAAGTAAGTCAGTGCTCAATCCGCCGGGATACCTGCCCTGAATGTCTTCTTCTCCATGGCTCACAGCAGGCAGCAAAGACTGAGGGCCTCCATGCTGCTTTCCCAACTCCCCTAAAATGGATGTGTGCGGCTGGAAAGAAATGGAGGTTGCTCTGGTCAATTTTGACAACTCGGACGAAATCCAGGAAGAGTCAGCCTATGCCACCAACTTCGACCCAGCCAGCCCCAGAGGCCGGCCCGGGAGCGGCACCTTCCCCAACTGGAAGATCCTCGTCAGTGACAACACCACCCACGAGACCACCTTCTCCAAGCTCCCAGGGGACTACACAGATCCCCCAGGGCCTGAGCCCGTGGCTTTGAATGAAGGCAACCAGCGGGTGATCATCAACATTGCAGGACTGAGGTTTGAGACCCAGCTCAGAACCCTCAATCAGTTCCCAGAGACCCTCCTGGGAGACCGGGAGAAAAGGATGCAATTCTTTGACTCCATGAGAAATGAGTATTTCTTTGACCGGAACCGGCCCAGCTTTGATGGAATTCTATATTACTACCAATCTGGAGGGAAGATCCGGCGCCCGGCCAACGTTCCCATCGACGTCTTCGCGGATGAGATCTCCTTCTATGAGCTGGGCAGTGAGGCCATGGACCAGTTCCGGGAAGACGAAGGCTTCATCAAAGACCCTGAGATACCGCTGCCCACTAACGACTTCCACCGGCAGTTCTGGCTCCTCTTTGAGTATCCTGAGAGCTCCAGCGCTGCCCGTGCCGTGGCCGTGGTCTCTGTGTTGGTGGTGGTCATCTCCATCACCATCTTCTGCCTGGAGACACTGCCAGAGTTCCGGGAGGACAGGGAGCTGAAGGTGGTCAGAGACCCCAGCCTCAGCACGAACAAGACGGCCTTCCCCCAGACCATGTTCACCGACCCCTTCTTCATGGTGGAGTCCACGTGCATCGTGTGGTTCACCTTCGAGCTGGTGCTCCGCTTCGTGGTCTGCCCCAGCAAGACGGACTTCTTCAGGAACATCATGAACATCATCGACATCATCTCCATCATCCCCTACTTTGCAACCCTCATCACGGAGCTGGTCCAGGAGACGGAGCCCAGCGCCCAGCAGAACATGTCCCTGGCCATCCTGAGGATCATCCGCCTGGTGAGGGTCTTCCGCATCTTCAAGCTGTCCCGTCACTCCAAGGGGCTGCAGATCCTGGGGCAGACGCTGAAGGCTTCCATGCGGGAGCTGGGGCTGCTCATCTTCTTCCTCTTCATTGGGGTCATCCTCTTCTCCAGCGCTGTCTACTTTGCCGAGGTGGATGAGCCGGAGTCCCATTTCTCCAGCATTCCCGATGGCTTCTGGTGGGCCGTGGTCACCATGACAACCGTGGGCTATGGTGACATGTGCCCAATCACCCCAGGGGGAAAGATCGTGGGCACTCTGTGTGCCATTGCAGGGGTCCTCACCATTGCACTCCCCGTGCCCGTCATCGTCTCCAACTTCAACTACTTCTACCACCGGGAGACTGAGAATGAGGAGAAGCAAAACATCCCAGGAGAAATCGACAAGATCCTCAACAGCGTGGGCTCAAGAATGGGCAGCACAGACTCTCTCAGTAAGACCAACGGTGGCTGCTCCCCAGAGAAGCCCAGGAAGTGATCAGCCAGGGGCTACTCAGGTCTGTCCCCGCCCAACTCTTGATCTTTCCAAGGACCAAAAGTGATCTCTTGTGACCAACATGCTATCTTTGATTATAAGCTGTTTTAATAAATCCATATTTGAGCTGTGTTTTCTTTTTTTTTTTTTAATTTATTTATTTGAAAGGCAGGAAGACAGAAACAAAGGTCTTCCATTTATTTGCTGGTTCACTCACCAAATGCCCACAACAATCAGGGCTGGACCAGGCTGAAACCAGGAGCCACAAACTCCATCTGGTCCCCCATGTGGGTGGCAGGGACCCAAGTACTTGCACCATCACCTGTAGCCTCCCAGGGTGCACATTAACGGGAAGCTGGAATCAAGAGTAGAGCCGGGGCTCGGACCCAGGCACTCTGACCCGGAATGCGGGCTTCCCAAGGTACAGGGGCACCGGTGCACCACGTGTCCACCCAGCTACTTCTTCCCAGCCACTACAGGAAACTTCATTCTCCTCTCCTGAGCGGGGTACTTTGAGTCCCTAGATCAGAAGTGTTGCTGTCACCTGGGAGCGTGGAACTGCAGAGTCCAGGCCTACACAGAGCTACTGCTGAATAAGAATCCACATTTTAACAACATCCCAGGTAATTTATTTGCACACTAAAGATTAAGAAGCACTGACTTGGGTCTTCCTAAGATAAAGCATATGAAAAGGCTAGGGGCTGTGTGAGCGATGAGGCAGAGCTGAGTTGTTTAATAATAATAATAATGTAATGATAATGATGATGATGATGTATACTTGGTCAGCACTGCACACATTTTTCAAAGTGCATTCACTGCATCTCAGTGTAACAGATCTGATTATAATTCCCGCATTGCAGATGAACAAAATCCAGGGGATAGCAGCTTGCCTAAGGTCACCTGAGACAGTGACAGGGTCAGTGCTGCCAAGTCTCCTGCCTGTGAACCTCATGCTGTTTCCACCATTGAAGAAGACGTGAGGCCGGTGCCGCGGCTCACTAGGCTAATCCTCCTACTGCGGCACTGGCATTCTGGGTTCTAGTCCCAGTTGGGGCACCGGTTCTGTCTCAGTTGCTCCTCTTCCAGTCCAGCTCTCTGCTGTGGCCCAGGAAGGCAGTGGAGGATGGCCCAGATCCTTGGGCCCTGCACCCTCATGGGAGACCAGGAAGAAGCACCTGGCTCCTGGCTTCGGATCGGCACAATGCGCTGGCCATAGCGGCCATTTGGGAAGTGAGCCAATGTAGGAAGACCTTTCTCTCTGTCTCTCTCTCACATTGTCTAAATCTGCCTGTCAAAAAAGAAGAAGAAGAAGAAGAAGAAGAAGAAGAAGAAGAAGAAGAAGAAGAAGTAGTAGTGCTGGACCTGGGGGGAGCTGGTGACAGTCGGCTTTTGTAAGACACAGACAGCAAGCCTCTGGACTGGGACACTCTCACTGTGGGGCCCCAGGGTCACAGCCTGGCCTGGGAAAGCCACCCCTTGCCTGCCCCAACCCCCCACTCCTCAGCCCCTTCCTTGGACAGGGGAGGAACAGGCACACTTCCAGGTGCCCTCCACCTGGCCCATGTCCAGGGGTTCACACAAAGCCTGGAGATCCGGAGTGTGATGGTTTGGATATGGTCTGCCCCACCCAAGGTCGTGCTGACACTGATCCCCAATCTGATGGTGCTGAAGGGTTTGGGTCTTCGAGGGCTGATTAAGTAGTGAAGAGGGAATAAGGTTTTTCTCAAGGGAGTGAGCTCTGGCTCTCCTGGGCCTGCGCTGGTCACCCCAAGAGTGAGTTGGGATCGGGGGAGGCTGCTCCACCCCCTCAGCCGCTTCCCAGTGCAGCTCGTTCCTTCCCACTTCTCTCCACGACCCGAGCAGCATGTGACGGTCAAGAAGACGCCAGCGTGGGCTCTTAGCCCTGCAGGACTGGGAGCTAAATAAACCTCTTTTCTGTGTAAATCACTCAGCTTCGGATATTTTCTGACAGCCACAGAAAACAGACTAAGACCCTGGCTGTGGGGAGAACGGGCCCGCCTGGAAGATGGACCAGTGCATCTGCCTCAGAGTTCAGCTCCTCTTAGGTCACCTGGAACTGGCCAGCAGCTTGCAGGGTGTCTGGGGAGGGCTCTGTGCCTTGGAAAAGGCTGTGGGGTGGTTCCCAGAGTCTGGAGTACAGCTGAGGAAGGGGCCCAGGCAGGCCTGGCCCAGTGCCCCCCACACCCTCCCAGCCGGCGGGCGTGGGCTGGCTCCCCTAAACAGGGCTGTGCTGTGACCCCAGGGTGAAGCTGACTCACAGAAGGCCTCCTTTACGTTTGGAGATTTCACATAAAACCTTAATAGGAGAATAAATGAAATAAGGGGAACCAAATCTTGATTATGATGAATCCAGGTCTATGGGGGCAGGGGTAGAATCACATTACTCTTCTATTTTTTAAATTTTCATAACAGAAATTTTTTTAAAAAGATTTATTGGGGCCGGTGCTGTGGTACAGCGGGTTAAAGCCCTGGCCTGAAACACTGGCATCCCATATGGGTGCTGGTTCTAGTGCTGGCTGCTCCTCTTCCGGTCCAGCTCTCTGCTATGGCCTGGGAAAGCAGTAAAAGATGGCCCAAGTCCTTGGGCCCCTGCACCCACATGGGAGACCTGGAAGAAGCTCCTGGCTCCTGGCTTCAGATCGGTACATCTCCGGCCGTTGTGGCCATCTGGGGGGTGAACCAGTGGATGGAAGACCTCTCTCTGTCTCTACCTCTCTCTGTAACTCTGTCTTTCAAATAAATACATAAAAAACAAACAAACAAAAACAACCCAGCCCTCTGAGCAGGGAAAGGAAGGGGTTTCTTCCAGGTGAGGAGGGAGCAGCAGCAACAGCCCACAGGGTGTCCACCCAGCTCAGGGGAAAGCTTCTGTCCACACCCCATGGGACTGCCCTTGCTGGCGGGCAGGACTGCAGGAGGGCGGAGAGAGCCCGAG